CACGAAGTGCGGCTGCGGCCCAGGGATGCCATTCCGCCGCAGTATTGATAGTTGTTGTTTTCGCCCGCGTATTAAATACACGATTATTACCACTATTATTATTGTTATAAGAAATAGCATTTTTACTTTATTTAAAATGAGTTAAATGTCAATATATCCAACAAATGGTGAAAAGGCAAATTAGTTTTAAAATAAGTTTGATTAAAGCAAATTATTGCCAAATTTATTGAATAGCCTTGATTTACGATAAATTTGAGATAGTGTGCTTAATTTTATTTTAGCAAATAATATAACTTTGTCCACATTTGAGATTGAATTTTGAGTGAATAAATGATAGGTTATTATTGTATTTATGCGAAAGATTATTCTCAAATGATAAATTAAGAAATTGATAATTTAATTAACAATAATTAATTAAGAAATACTCGTATTATGAACATAAAATATTTTAAAATAATAGTTAAATAAGTTATAGAGTTACTTGTATACTTGAATATAAATGTAGTAAAAAATAAAATAAATAAATGTTATTTAGAAAATTGATAAGTAAAATGTGAAATATAAACAAATGGATGTTATCACCAAGTTTATTTTATTAATGCAATTATTTAAACAAAATGTTAATAATTTTAATTACTAGTGCGTTATTTAATACTTTATTTAGATTAATTTATAAAATAGCTAGTAAATCAATTTATTATTAAAACATGATGACTTTATAAATATTTTAATTAAAATTTATAAAACAAAATTCATATTTAATTGTAATATTTTAGTCATAGATTTATGTATTAAGTGATCATTAAATAAATTATATAATCTTTTAATTTTGAGAAATTATAACTTATATTAGCAGTGCTTTTAAAACTTTCTGTATATAATACGGATAATATATTATTCAATAAATAAAATTATTAACGAATTTTTAAGAAATTATTTCATATATTGATAGTTTACATGTGTTTTAATTTTCAGATAGAAACATTTTATCAGTATTTTGAATTTTAAGACAACAATAATTTGTTTATATAATATTTTAATTAGTGTTAAATGATAAATATTTCTAAATTAAACTCAACAAATTAGAAATTATAATAGCTGCATTTTGAATATTTATTAAAACAAGTATAAATTCATGAATAAAACATTATAATTATGTACAGTTAAAAAATAATTAAAAAATCAATTCATCTACTTCTATTGTACAAATAAAAAACATATGTCTAATAATTAGATTTTAACACAATATAAATATTTATAGTTTGACTGCTTTGACATAAACACCATTTTTGGGCGTAAGTGTTATTATCTTGATATCAGTGGTTAGCGCTCCCATCTCTGTCTTCGGGCCGGGAATTAGTCGATAGTTAAGAAGGAGTTTAGCCAACGCTAGTTTGGCCTCAAATAAAGCAAATCGCAATCCAATGCAATTTCGTGGACCACTTCCGAAGGGTTGCCATGAGTTCGGGTGAATCTCGTGCTTCCGGTCGGCGCTAAACCTCTCGGGATCGAAGACCTCGGGTTCGGGCCAATAGTCCGGGTCGTGATGGAGATAATGAGTAGCGATCTGAACGCCGGCACCTTTTGGTATAGTTATGTCTTTGTATTTGTAGTCCTGAAGACATTCTCGGGACACAAATGTAATGACCGGCGGATATATTCTCATGGTTTCGTTGAGAACACATTCCAAGTATTCCAACTTATTTACACAATTGAAATCCAGTTTACCCTCATTTTCATGGAGTTGTCGCACCTCTTCTCTCACTCTTTCCTGTATATCGGGATAATTGACGAGAATGTGAGCCATAAAACCGAGTGCTGTACTCGTCGTCTCATATCCCGCCTCATAGAAGAGTACAGAATTGGCTTTGATTTCATCTTCAGTTAAAACAATATCACTCTTTACTCCGTGTTTAACACCATTCGTACCATTTTTGGCACCGTTTTGACCGTTCGCTTGACTCTCCTTATCATTTCCTGCGGTCATCTTCTCGTAACTCATTGACGACATCTCTTCGGTCGACATCTTTGTGTCTAACATTAGTTGCAATAAATCTTTGCGACGAAGACTTGGATTCTCTTTTCGCAATTGAATGATATCTCGGGCCATATCGAAGAGTATACCATTGGGTGAGCGACCCATTTGGTGGCGGATTATCTCTGCCAGTCGTCGGAAGGGATAGAAAATGGGATCAAGAAATGGAAAGCATATGATTGCGAAATACACCGAAACATTAAGCTTGAAATTAAACACGTCTTTCGCCGCTTTCAGAAACTTATTG